TCAGACGCAGCGTATCCGGCCCCATGGACTTGTGCTCGTCCAGGTTTTCTAAATAGTCCCGAACCACTTCTTTCTCCACAGAGGGCTGGTCACCTCCTCCCCATGCTGTGCTGCCCAGTGCAGCAGGCTGGGAGTTGACCTTGTTCGTGAAGACAGAGGCAAAAAAAGCATTGAGTACATCAGCTTTTTCCACATCCTCTGTCACTAGGTTGTCTCCCTAATTCGGTAAGGGGCCCACACTTCCCTTGACTTTCTTCTTGTTGCTAACATATCTGAAGAAACCCTTCTTGTTACTCTTAATATCTCTTGCTAGCTGCAACTCCAGGTATGATTTGGCCTTCCTGATTTCACTCCTGCATGCCTGAGCAATATTTTTATACTCTTCCCTGGTCATTTGTCCAATCTTCCACTTCTTGTAAGCTTCTTTTTTGTGTTTAAGATCAGCAAGGATTTCACTAAAAGAAAAGGAGTACTTGTGGAACCTTAGAGACTAACCAATTTATTTGAGCATGAGCTTTCATGAGCTACAGCTCACTTCATCGGATGCATACTGTGGAAACTGCAGAAGACATTATATACACAGAGACCATGAAGCAATACCTCCTCCCACCCCACTCTCCTGCTGGTAATAGCTCATCCAAAGTGACCACTCTCCCTACAATGTGCATGATAATCAAGGTGGGCCATTTCCAGCACAAATCCAAGTTTAACCAGAACGTCGGGGGGGGGGGGGGGGGGGGGTAGAAAAAAACAAGGGGAAATAGGCTACCTTGCATAATGACTTAGCCACTCCCAGTCTCTATTTAAGCCTAAATTAATAGTATCCAATTTGCAAATGAATTCCAATTCAGCAGTTTCTCGCTGGAGTCTGGATTTGAAGTTTTTTTGTTGTAAGATAGCGACCTTCATGTCTGTGATTGCGTGACCAGAGAGATTGAAGTGTTCTCCAACTGGTTTATGAATGTTATAATTCTTGACATCTGATTTGTGTCCATTTATTCTTTTACGTAGAGACTGTCCAGTTTGACCAATGTACATGGCAGAGGGGCATTGCTGGCACATGATGGCATATATCACATTGGTGGATGTGCAGGTGAACGAGCCTCTGATAGTGTGGCTGATGTTATTAGGCCCTTTGATGGTGTCCCCTGAATAGATATGTGGGCACAGTTGGCAACGGGCTTTGTTACAAGGATAGGTTCCTGGGTTAGTGGTTCTGTTGTGTGGTATGTGGTTGTTGGTGAGTATTTGCTTCAGGTTGGGGGGCTGTCTGTAGGCAAGGACTGGCCTGTCTCCCAAGATTTGTGAGAGTGTTGGGTCATCCTTCAGGATAGGTTGTAGATCCTTAATAATGCGTTGGAGGGGTTTTAGTTGGGGGCTGAAGGTGACGGCTAGTGGCGTTCTGTTATTTTCTTTGTTAGGCCTGTCCTGTAGTAGGTGACTTCTGGGAACTCTTCTGGCTCTATCAATCTGTTTCTTCACTTCCGCAGGTGGGTATTGTAGTTGTAAGAATGCTTGATAGAGATCCTGTAGGTGTTTGTCTCTGTCTGAGGGGTTGGAGCAAATGCGGTTGTATCGCAGAGCTTGGCTGTAGACGATGGATCGTGTGGTGTGGTCAGGGCGAAAGCTGGAGGCATGTAGGTAGGAATAGCGGTCAGTAGGTTTCCGGTATAGGGTGGTGTTTATGTGACCATCGTTTATTAGCACTGTAGTGTCCAGGAAGTGGATCTCTTGTGTGGACTGGACCAGGCTGAGGTTGATGGTGGGATGGAAATTGTTGAAATCATGGTGGAATTCCTCAAGGGCTTCTTTTCTATGGGTCCAGATGATGAAGATATCATCAATATGGATGTAGAAGCCCTCTACACCAACATTCCACACAAAGATGGACTACAAGCTGTCAAGAACACTATCCCCGATAATGTCACGCCTAACCTGGTGGCTGAACTTTGTGACTCTGTCCTTACCCATAACTATTTTCCATTTGGGGACAATGTATACCTTCAGATCAGCGGCACTGCTATGGGTACCCGCATGGCCCCACATTATGCCAACATTTTTATGGCTGACTTAGAACAACGCTTCCTCAGCTCTCGTCCCCTAACGCCCCTGCTCTACTTGCGCTATATTGATGACATCTTCATCATCTGGACCCACGGAAAAGAAGCCCTTGAGGAATTCCACCATGATTTCAACAATTTCCATCCCACCATCAACCTCAGCCTGGTCCAGTCACGCACATTGTAGAGAGAGTGGTCACTTTGGATGAGCTATTACCAGCAGGAGAGTGAGTTTGTGTGTGTGTGTGGCCCAACTTGATGATCACTTATGTAAAGTGATAGATAATAGCTTATCTAAAGTGATCATCAAGTGAAATGGCCCAACTTGATGATCACTTTAGATAAGCTATTACCAGCAGGAGAGTGGGGTGGGAGGAGGTATTGTTTCATGGTCTCTGTGTATATAATGTCTTCTGCAGTTTCCACAGTATGCATCCGATGAAATGAGCTGTAGCTCACGAAAGCTCATGCTCAAATAAATTGGTTAGTCTCTAAGGTGCCACAAGTACTCCTTTTCTTTTTGCAAATACAGACTAACACGGCTGTTACTCTGAAACCTGTCATTATGCAAGGATTTCACTGTTAAGCCAAGCTGGTCGCCTGCCATATTTACTATTCTTTCGACACATTGGGATGGTTTGTCCCTGTAACCTCAATAAGGATTCTTTAAAATACAGCCAGCTCTCCTGGACTCCTTTCCCCCCATGTTATTCTCCCAGGGGATCCTGCCCATCCCCTGAGGGATGTCAAAGTCTGTTTTTCTGAAGTCCAGGGTCCGTATTCTGCTGCTCTCCTTTCTTCCCTGTGTCAGGATCCTGAACTCGACCATCTCATGGTCACTGCCTCCCAGGTTCCCATCCACTTCAGCTTCCCCTACTAATTCTTCCCAGTTTGTGAGCAACAGGTCAAGAAGAGCTCTGCCCCTAGTTAGTTCCTCCAGCACTTGTACCAGGAAATTGTCCCCTACATTTTCCAAAAACTTCCTGGATTGTCTGTGCACCGCTGTATTGCTCTTCCAGAAGATATCAGGGTGATTGAAGTCTCCCAGGAGAACCAGGGCCTGTGATCTAGTAACTTCTGTGAGTTGCCGGAAGAAGGCCTCATCCACCTCATCTTCCTGGTCCGGTGGTCTATAGCAGACTCCCACCATGACATCACCCTTGTTGCTCACACTTCTAAACTTAATCCAGAGACGCTCAGGTTTTTTTGCAGGTTCATACTTGAGCTCTGAGCAGTCATACTGCTCCCTTACATATAGTGCAACTCCCCCACCTTTTCTGCCCTGCAGGTCCTTCCTGAACAGTTTATATCCATCCATGACAGTACCCCAGTCATGTGAGTTATCCCACCAAGTCTCTGTTATTCCAAACACATCATAATTCCTTGACTGTGCCAGGACTTCCAGTTCTGCTTGCTTGTTTCCCAGGCTTCTTGCATTTGTGTATAGGCACTTGAGGTAACTCGCTGATCATCCCTCTTTCTCAGTATGAGGCAGGAGCCTTGCCCTCTTGCACGCTCCTGCTCGTGCTTCCTCCCAGTATCCCACTTACCTCAGGGCTTTGGTCTCCTTCCCCTGGTGAACCTAATTAGAGACGTGGCCGGGCCCCATCCTCCCAGTGTCTCAACTAGTATCAGGTGGGCAGCAGTAGGAGAAAGCACACAGTACACTTTTTGTACAAGTATAGTAAGTGCTGCTCCCTGAAATGTCCCATTATGCCTCCCTTCACCACCACTTGGGCATTAGAACTGCTAAGCTTCTCCACAGGTTTTCCCACTGGCAGTCAGAGCTATAATTTAACCATTTATCTTTAGGTTCAATATTTTACCCTTGCCCCAGGCAAGAAAACATATCAGAACCAGGTAACGTGAGAGCCATTTATTGGTTTAGTTTTCTCTTTCATTATGTATTAACCTCGGTCCATTTAAAAAGCTTCTCCATGGCAAATGCCCTCTCCATCATATGACCTTGATATCTTTAAACCTATCACACTTAAGCCATTCTCCAGCTGGGTTTCAAAGGACTCCATATGCTCTCCTATTTGGACTCTAAAGAGCTGATAGCCAGATTATTTCATAATGTAATGTATTCCATACCTCACTTCATAGACTCTTCATGAAAAAACACAGCCTCATGGTAATTTATATTCTGGTGCTATCATGAATTTAAGATAACTCCCTTTTTCCATTTGCAGATTCCACATTCCTCATTTGGTCATCAGATGAAATAGCTACAACTTCTTGATATGAATCTCACAAGCTATATACATCCACATTAGGCCAACTACTGAATACTTTTTATAGTATCACAACGTTTTATTCCTTTTATTGTTCAATTTTGAAATAACCTCCTTTCCCATATTACATGGCTTATATATTATTAGTTACTTCATTTGTTTAGTTGAGCAAAAACAATGCTTAGAAATTACATTTATCTGAAAAATTTGGGGCCAAAACTTCAAGTGATACCTTAACATTCATGCACCCTGAAAATGCTTCCCTTGATTTTTTTTTTTTTGTATCAAGTTTGGATTGACAAAATATGCTTGCCCCAAAACTCAGATTTGCACTTCAGAATAGCAGATGCGTATCCATACTAAACAGTACTTTCCTAGACTCTTCACAAAGAGACTATCTAAATTGTTCAGAACCATCTGTCTATTGATAGCAGGTTGTGGGCTTTTCACTCAGCTGTGTTTGTAGTATGAACTGCAAGGAGGAGGAGTTAGAGAAGTGCTTCCAATCAAGTCCCTAAACAACTCTTGTATAGATTCAATGGTTTGCTCAGTTTTTGTCACTGTTTTGTTTTTTTTAGCATGTTTGTAACTGACAAGCTAGCACATTTTGTAACATCTTGCACTCCAGTACATACACAGAGGTTCACTATCTACAAATGATGAACATTAGCAAGCATTTGCAGCAAAACGTAGTTTAGGAACTTACGTTTGGAATGTTTGTCACAGAGGGCTGATGCCCTCATGTCACAGAGTCTCAAGGATCCTTTGCTGCTGCTGTAGACAAAGAGATTGCAATGGTGGGGATGAAACTCGGATGCAGTAATCACTTCTGTCAGATCCTCCATGTTGGCTGGCTTTATATCTACAATGTCTGAATGGAGGTTTTATTAAGGAAAATTAAATTGTTTACAAGTAAGTTATGAATCTTGCCACCTGTTTGAAGGCCGCATGGTTGTATAGACATTTTCCACACATTTACAGACAAATAAATTAGTTTTGAATAAAGCATTCTCATTTGTTTGAGAAGAGACATTCAGCATTATTCTATTTGGCAGTAGCTCTTCTTACTTGATGGTTGCACCACAGAGACAATTAAATTTTCATAACAAAATTAATTTAGGACCACTATCTAACATACCTTACTGTGGATGTCATTAATATGCCTACATTTGCAGTAAAATGTTGGTGATGGAGATATGGCAGTTGAAGTTTTCAGATCCGTTCAGGGATTTGATCACCTATCTTTCATTTAAACTAAAGGAGAATCAGTAGCTAAATACCCTGCACTGCTTGGCAAATCACAATCATCAGTATTTCCCCATAACTGCAATGGCAATTACTGCTGTAGTTCAGATAACACTGATGTATAGATAGCAGTGACTGTACATCTCAACTTTCCCTCCATCCAGTCTATTTAAAATATTGCTGCTAAAATAACTTTCCTCTCCCACTCTTTTGACCTCATCATCCCCTCCTTCACTGGCTTCTTGTCCTTTGCTGTATCAATGTCAAGGCCCTTTTCCTCTGCTTCAGTGCTTCACAGTTTGCCCCAGCCTGCTCTTATTTCCTCTTTCTCTCTCCCCTCATTCCTTCCTCTCCTCTAAATCCTCTCTCCTAGCTCCTCCCTTGAGTCTGCTTCTCCCATTCCCAGCTTTATACCTTTACTCATGCCCCTCCCTGTGCTTGGAATTCCTCCTTACAATACATTCTTTTCCTCTCAACCTAATTCTATGCTATATACAACACTGGGTGGTTAGATAACCTAGAGCAGCGTTTCTCAAATGGCATGCAGCCACCAGAGGTTTTTCTTGTGAAAACCCCTGACCTAGAGGTTGGACGTTGGTTTTATATTGTTTGTACTGCACGTTCTTAGAATCTCAGGCCAAGCAGATGGAAAATTGTGGGATGATATAGGCTCTATGCTGGAACACCAAATGGCATTAGAACCTTAAACAAACATTCAGAAGTATCATGGACTATAACAAAATGGCAGATGAATGTGAGCCACCAGGATATTTCAGACCTAAAAGATGCTAATGCTAAGGAGGAGGAATAATTGGTTATAACTGACATATATTAGTAGATCACAGAAGCTAGATAGACTGGAAGACCGAACAGGTTTTTTCCCCCCCTTATCTCCATCAGTGCCAGTGTCAAGAAAGTCTGCCTACTGGTAAAGGATATCAAGGTCACTGACTAGTATAGCTAAAAGACTTTCAGCTAGATTCTGGTCTCATTTACAGCAGATACATCAGTGTAACTCCACTGTGTTTGATAAGTTAATCTTGATTTACACTGGTATGGAAGATCAGAATCAAGCCTGTAGTCTGGACAATTTGTATGGTTGCCCTAAAGTTATGAGAATCACTGTCTTATATCATTATGCAACTTAGGGAGGGTTTTTAAAAAGGTATGTGCATTTCTTCTGCACGTGCAAATTGTACACAAACTCAGATGCCCGTATGCAAACTGATGAGTGTGAATATGTACCAGTCTCAATGCAAAAATCAAGGTCTGTGCATGCACAAGACTGCACGGTTGTGTGCTGCTTTTGAAAATTGCACTGAGGGCTACATTTAAAAAAATGGCATCAAAAAACTGGTGCCTCCAATTTTTCATGTCTCACCTTTTCCAAATAGAATTTTTCAAAATGAGTCCAATCTTGCTCCCATTGAAGTCAATGGGAATTTTGTCATTGACTATAATAGGAGCAGGTTTGGGTCCTGCAGTTGTGAATACAAATTGTGTAGATGCCTAACTAATCTATCCACATGGGCAAATGCATTTAGAAAGCACAAATCAGAGTTCTCTGTGTGCCAAATTATAGATGTGAAAATATGTAGACAATTTCAGGTGCTGAGTAAAGGACCTCTGAAAATTTGCCCATTTGGTAAGAAAAAATCATAAACATAAAATATACTGTTAGCTTCACTACAAATTGAAGTTCCAGCAGTGCCATCCATTGTGGAAAATTCCCCACGAAGATAATGCTTATTACTGAAATCAATGTAAATTTCTGTGAAAAAAGGACTGTAGCTCTGAGCTTTTTAATTGTTCATATCTGAAGTATATATCACACCAATTAAGTAACCCATGTACACATCAGCCAGTCCAATCACTATTATTAAAAATTATTGATACGATGCTTAACTTACATGGTACTCCTCAGTCACAGCCATTTGGTGATCTTATGCTCTGGGAAAGACAAGTGAAAAAAACCACAAGAGAAGATATGGGACAACAGCTCAGGAAAGGGAAAGTGAGAAGAGAGATTTCTGGTGAGCAAAAGGAGGAAGAAATATTTCCTAGAAGAAGAAGATTTTAAGAAAACAATAGTTGAAGAGGCACTGTGATGGAGTGTTCATCCCCACACCAGCTCTGAAGGGGTGACGGTGGCCCAGAAGGGACCAATTAACCTTCACAGTTGTACCTGATAGGAGGCCCAGGGATTGATAAATACTAATTGCTGATGATGCCCAGCTGGCAAAGGATTATAAAGAGGGGAAGTTTGTAGTACTAGGAGGCTGCAGGGAGAGAGTCTGTAGTCATTCTCTGGGAGCAAGAAACCTAGCAGGGAGAATAAGTCCTAGGATCCTGCCCCTGGAAGAAGGGTCAACCCCAGAGGAGTTGTGGAGAAAGAATGCCTGAAAAGGCAGAGTAGGAAGAAGCTCAGAGAAACAGCAGCAAGGAGGGAGACTGTGTAGACCTTGGCTGCTGGTTATGGGGTCACTGGACTGGAATCCAGTATAGAGGTAAGGCCTGGATTCCCCTACCAGCCACTGGGAAGTGGTGCTGGACTGTTTGAGGTGCAATCTGGACAGCTAGTCCAGCAAGACTTTGATACCCCAGAAGGGAGGGGTGGGTGGGGGTATATAGTGACCTAGCCAGAGGGATGAGTTGTGAGTAGGGAGCACTGTGAATTACAGGAAGAGAGACCACTGTAGTGACGAAATGACCACTTGGCAGGGGGTGCCATGCAGGAAGAACTGCTATGCCATGCCTGCCCAGGAGGAGGAGCTCTTGTGGTGAGTGAACACCATTACAGGCATACAGTGAAAACAAAGAGTAACAGTATGGCAGAGTATCTGAGTAAGACTATTTTCTCATATGATCCTCATCCTTGTAGTGTCTGCAAACCTTCCAAACACTAATGAATTTATCTTCACAATACCCCTGTGGAAGAGGAAAGTATTACTATTCTATCTTTCAGATAAGGAACTGGGGCAGAGAGAATATGTGGCTTGCCCAAAGTCACACTGAAAATCCATGATAGAGCTGTGATGTGAACATAGATCTATTGAATCCCAGATTGGGGCCTTAAACACAAGACCCTCCTTCCCAGCTGTCATGCTTCCCAGAACATAAAATTTGAATCAATTGGCATAAGAGATAATTTGAACATTCCTGGAGAATGAGATAATAGGAAAATGTTGTTTTATTAATGGCCAGAAAAGTCGCATGTTGTCTTACTAAGCCAGTCCCTGTGCTTGTTGAAGCAGACAGAAAAACTTTAATTGATTTCAGTGGGAGCAGGGGCAGGCCCATCACAGAAATTACAACTACTCTTTGATCTTTCCTGAGCCTGTAGATTTCAGAAGCACTAAAATGAAATTAAAATTTAAAAGTAACAATATGCAAGTGTAGATAAAATTATCATAAATTTGCTTGGCTTCACAGTGACCATATCATATATTACGCTGAATTGGTTTTAAAAAGGAAAAACGGCAGTGAAGAATGGGAGTAGCTGGTGACATTTCATAACAAGAGGACATGAATTAATGTTGCATTTCAATGGCATTCCTAAGAAATTACTTACAGTATCACATTTGCATCCATCTCCAGGAATCCATCATCATTAATGTTAGTACAATGAATACCAAGATGTGGTAACATTGATTTACCATCTATTATGAAGTATGCCTAAATGTTCTTAAAATTCTAACTGGCAGAAATATCCTTTATTTGGTTATTTGCATTTGGTAAATCTGTCTGAAGAAATCTGTTAGTAAAAACAATTGCTTTCAGTGATTGAATTGCTTTCAGGAGATCAGAGGAATTACGGTAACTCGGTGCAAGAATTTCACCTGTTAGTGGAGAAGATGAATAATTGCTGAGTGATGAGAAAGATATTAAATATAAATAGAGTGTGTGAAACAGTCACACCAAGTATCATTTTTCTGGAAGCTGAAGATGGTATTGATGAATTTCCCTTCATTGTACAAAATGAATAGCCCCATGCTGAATAATGAAATTAAATATTCCATTTCCCCAGCTGAAATACATAAAACACTTGGAACAGAAGGCATTTCCAGATGCGATCTACATTTCCATTGGGACAATGTAGACTTCACTGCCTTTCATGGATCATACATTAAATGTATGAACAAAACCCAAAATTTCATCAGATTGAAGCAAAAATAAAACAAGAGTATAACCCCTATACTAAAGTAAAATGAACAAAAGAAACACAAACTGTTGAAGAGATTTATCCCTCATAAGTTTGTAATATGTGTAGGAGCAGCCCAGTACTTTGAGAGCTACATAACCCAATGTATCAAAAGCAGATTATGTCACACAAAAGAACATTTTTCTCATCTTTTAATTTTTGCCATCCATCTGACAACTATCAAGTATGGCTCGACAGGTGATGTGTGGGCATTGTATTTAAACTAGTATGACAAGAGAAGGGCACACAGAACAGAAGCATCTCCCATGAGACACTTTGCATTTTTATTTTCCCATTACCCCCTTATGCGGGGTTTTACCTGGTATTCTATAGCAGAGAAATACAGAACAATTGGGCCAGGTTCTCTGTTCTAGATCCAGCCCCTTTGTGCAACCTGAGCAGCTCAAAAGAAGATGGAAGCTGGT